CGATGTGAATATTCCTCGCCAGCTTCTCTTGGATCTCGGCCGCCTTCGGTGTCATCCTTCGATCCTTGGCCTTTCGCAGTTACCGGACACCAGCGGCGGCGGGCTTCGCGGCGCAAGTCGTTTCTTCCCGCCTGCGCCTCTTGCTTTGTGTGCTTGGCGTATCCGTTATATTAGAGCGTCCGGCATATCCTCGATGTCCTCCTCTGGTTCCTCTCTATCTTCTTCCTCTATTGTGGCCTCGGGCTCCTTCTCAGTTCTCTCGAGCGCCGATTTGGTCGCCGGTTCAGTCGCTGGTCGGGGCTGGTTCGGCTTCCCTGCGGTAGGCGCGACCGGGGCTGGTGGGACCTGCTTCTTCGGTGGCTTTTCGTAGGATCTGGGCCTGTCCCTAAAGGCCCGGTCGGCTGCTCTTTTGTGCTCCATGGCAACTCGGCCTACCTGCCATGCGACGGCAGGATGAGGCCCCTTGCAGTTGGCGCACTCTGGGCTAGCACACTCTCCGGTGTGTTTCCCCTTATCGCACCTCCCACACCAGGCCACCTGGCGGCATTGGCGTCTAATGCGTCCCCAGCCCATGCAGTTGTAGCACTGCTGTGCTTCGCTCTCCACGCAGAAGGGCTCGCACCGAAAGATGTGGCCTCCCAGTTTGGCTCCCTTTCTGACCATACGCGTGGCCATCTCCGTGTTTTTTTGGGGCCGCAATTGTGGCCCACGTTTTCGGGCGCGTCTTCAGCGCGACCACCTCTCTCCGTAGCTGTTTAATTGTCTGCGCCATTCCCCATAAAAGAGCTGAAGTACCTCCCCCAACGGAGGCCTCAGCCTTTAATTCTTCCAGTGTCCATTTTCCCCAGTCCTTTGGCTGAGAGTCGGCTTTGTTCGTCCCGCTCGATGGGGCGGTGTCGCGTGATTGGAGTTGTGACATTGTCTTTTTCGTTTCGAGATGTTGAAGTTTGGAAAACCATCATGGGAATACGAATATCATGTGATTCCAACTGTGTCCAAGCTCGACCAAGCCTTTGCACTGAAAACAACGTTGCCACCCGTTCTAGTTCGCGATATCGAAAACCTGTTGTAAAGCTTGGTCAGCCGGGCAGTCTCCTTTATGTGCCCGAGCTTTACACATGGTTCATGTGGTAATTTTGCATTTGGGGCACGTGTCACGATCATTTGTGATGTCCTTTGCATGAAGAAAAGTAGAGCATGTTGGCTTTGAGCAGTATGTGCAATCTGAGGAGTCCATTTCGATCTTCTTCTGCTCATACCGAGCAATCAACTCAGACGTCAAGAAAATGCCTATACCACCGGTAGTGATAGATTCTGGACAGCAGCATGGAGGGAATAAAGTGTCGTCCAAAAGAACGAGGTGGAAGAGCTGTTGGAAACATTCTAGCGATATCGTAGTAACTGTGTCGACCCCTATAAGCTACGAACGTCCCATAGAGTTCGCTGGGTACTCTTGTTGCGGCCCATTTGGAGAATTCCTTCGAAGTAATCATCACAGAACCGAGTTTGACAGTCAAGTCCAGATCCAGATGCCCAAGACCATGTATAGGCGGATTCAGTGACAGAAAACGACTATGAAATTCTGCATACCGCCTTGCTGTGGGCCTCATCCTCGTCCGCAGATGTATGATCAAGATTCCTACGCATCGGCGAAAGTCGCTCTTCAGGCCTTTGAGGAAGTCAGCCATGATTCTAATCCGGTGAATCTAAGAGGGTTTGCAGGTACGATCTACTTGCCAGAACATACAATGCGCCAAGATTGGCCATCAATTCTTCATCCATCTCCTCAAATGTAATGGTCCAAGGACCGACAGTTCGGATGACCGGCCGTCCATCAATCTGGCAGCCCTTGACAACGATTGATAGGCAATCGATGGACTCATTGCGTCCATGACAACGATGTAAGCAAAACACAAACCATTTCGTGGTCATCTGCAGCAATCTGTTGATCAGACCTAGTTACGGTGACGAGATTAACATTTCTCTAACAAGCGTCTGCGATACTTCTTGTCATTCTATGGTCCTTGAATATTGTATCATTGCGTTTCATATCAGCTCGGAATAGTTGGTAATCTGCGTTGATTCACGTGGTGTTAGCAGCTTTTAGATTTAACATGTCCATAACTCAATTGGTGATACAGTGCCAAACATGTTCCATAACAACATGCTGACCCAACTTGGAGAGTTTCTCGACGAGAGGATAGGGAGTGAAGGTAGGTAGGGGTGGCTATGAGGAGGCTGTCAAATCTTGCCAAGTCTTGGCCCGAAGTTTAGACGGATCCTAGTAAATTTCCAGATATGCATCTACCAGCTTGAACTTTTTCTAGCAGCACGCGTTGTTCAAAGTCTGGTTAGAACTTTTCAATCTCTACCATATTCTACTTTCTTTTTATCTATCTGTGTTGGAACAATATCTCGTTGCTTATATTTCCCGTTTTCACTTCAATTGGTACATCCTCCAAACATGTCTCCAATTCCAGTTGTTGGGCCTGGTGCAAAGTCCGACTATAAAGCAGAGTCAACATTGGCCAGATTATTGGGTTCTGGTATGCTTGCAAACTACGACTGATGTCTATAGAGCGATGCCTAACGAGATATAGGATCCGCTGGTATTGCTGAGCTCGCTGTCTTCCATCCAGTACGAATGTACCTACATCCGATAAGGGCATAACTGATTCACGAAAGGTCGATACAATTGCGAAGCGTCTGATGAGCAATGAAGGAAAGGTACACAGTTTCAATACGCCAGTATCATTAAAATGGGCTGACGAAGCTAGATTAAAAACGCTGCAGAACTCAACAAGGTCATATTCAGAGACTCAGCCAATGTCTCGGTCGGCAAGAAGTTCACATCGCTATTCCCAGGTCTAGGATATGCTGCAGGATACAAGGTCAGTGATATGCCATTCCGCAATGGATAACAGCTGAGCTTGAATTAGGTGCTGCAACGAGTATATAAGTACGGAGGCCAACCATTCGTGAGAGATTATCTAGCGAAGAACCACGGAAGCACCTTCGACGACACATTTGGAAAGAAGACCGGAAAGGCCATGATGCACTCATTAGCTGGAAGGTCCGTCGCAGTGGAGAACAAAAGAGAAACTCGGCGCTAATGGATGAATAGTGTCATTGGTATTGGTGAAATCGTCCTCCTACCTCTTGATGTCCTCAAGATCAAGCGTCAGACAAACCCGGCTGCTTTCAGAGGGCGTAGTGTTCTAGCCATCGTCCGTGACGAGGGTATGGGACTATACAGAGGTGCTGGGTGGACAGCTGCCAGAAACGCTCCTGGGTCTTTCGCTGTACGTCTTCAGCTCTCCCCTATCACGAAAGCTCCCAAAACTGACCAACCTAGCTCTTCGGAGGATCAGCGTTCACAAAAGGTTACCTCTTCGGCCTCGCAGACTACAACTCCGCAACCTGGTTCCAGAACTTCATTGCCTCTATCGCCGGTGCCTCCGCATCCCTGCTCGTCTCAGCACCTCTCGATGTCATCAAGACCCGTATCCAGAACAAGAACTTCGAGAACCCAGAGAGCGGGTTCAAGATTGTTAGAAGTATGGCTAGGAACGAGGGTTTCACCAGTTTCTTCAAGGGACTTACTCCAAAGGTATGCTTGCGTCCTCTTCAGATCATCGATATGTGCTAATGAGGTTCACTTAGCTGCTCATGACTGGACCCAAACTTGTCTTCTCCTTCTGGCTTGCACAGACCTTGATCCCAGCATTCGACATTGCTTTGTCTAAGAAATAAATATCTCACGATAGTTGGCTGGTATGTAATGTTACTTAGTAGTTCATGTACGCAAAGGGGACAGATATGGAAAAGAGGGCGTAACGGCGTGGATGGAGTTTGAACACGTATAACAAGCTCTCCTGTAGATATGCGACCTAGAGCTGGTAGATGTCAATGAAGCAAAACTCGACTCAAAATTCTCAGATTTTCCCATTACTACGTGTAAATATATAACATGGGATAGCTACAGTAACTGTAAATCTCACTTTTACAAACTTCAAAGATCACCGAAGTGCGATTTCCATGATTCCCACTCAGTCTGTGCCAAACCTCCAATTCCAAATGCGGCCCAAATTCATCAAAGTGGGTCATCAACCTCCTCTCTTCCAACACTTGCAGCTTCCTCTGAAGTTTATCCTAGAATACAAGCCCATTTGATACTACGGCAAGTTCTCCTCTTAAAGCTCTCTCCATACACACAAAACCAATTCAGCAATGTCACCGCCACTACCAGCCCACCTGATTTCCAAAATCGGCGACCCAATATTTGCGCTCTTCATCGGTCTCTCGGCCGCTGCAACACGCATCAACCGTGAGGAGAATAAGATGGGACACTCGATGCAAGAGACTGTAAATTCTGGATTTCGGTAAGCCGTCCTCTATGTTTCTTCACTAATTCCATGCAATGCGTGGAATAAAGAGCGATGGCATGTGACCTATACCCGGCGAAGTGCCCAGGGAGTTGAGACCTAGTTCGGAGCCGCTGCTGATTGTGAAAAACAGACGGATAGGACTGGGTAACTTATATGCTAAGGGTGTAGTTGGGGGGAAGAAATGAGGTTCTGTTAAGAGAATGTATGAGTAAGAGGGAAGCATGGTCTCTGTGGTGGAGGCATGGGAAACGGCCATGCCCGATGTATTTGAGGAGCTCTGGAGTTGAGATACATGCCTGATTGTCAAAGATGTCTTAGTTCTTGTAGCAGAATATCGAATCTGGCTTGCAGTGCAGCTAAGTGAAGGCCCTTAAATATCAGAGCACTAGGTACGATATACGCTTCCATGCTATAATCCCGGATGTCTTCACTGCATTCGCGAAGCTTGGAAATGGCATCAACCTAACCATTCACTTCGCACCTCTTGATCCTGTCTTGCTTCATCTGCGGAAGGCTAACCAATAAGGTCCCCGCTTACGTACAATTGGCACAACGTAACTATATAGATATATACAATATGCTACATTCAGGAGTATCAGTGGCCACAAACGAGCCATGCTGGTCTAATTTGAAAGACCCCTGCTATTTCAAGCCGCATAAGGCCTGGGTTCAATTCCCAGGCATGGACCCCAACCTTTCTTCTTCTTTTGCTGTTTGCTTTTCTGCGTGCAACGCCATTACCTTCTTGGGTTCGGTGCAGACGGGGCCCTTATCACAAATGACTAGCCTACCTATCTTCTACCTAGCTAGGTATATATATAGGTACTTGAATCATATGTATTTGGGTATCTACCTAAATACGCGTTTCGGTTCCCTTATTGGGCCCATGCGCAAGACTATCAATAAAGCTGTAGTTTTTAGGGGCGGAAAAACAAGGGACCCGTCCCATTGACTTGTTGTCTCCTCCTTCACGACTCTCTCCTACCATACAACATGTGCTGTTGTTAATGAGTACAAGATCTCACCTTTCCTAGTGATTCCTACATGTTCTAACCGCTGTACATACATAAACAACAAGCAAAAGATGTCAAACCATAAACCAATACAAAAGCCGTGCTAGTCTAATTTTAAAGACATCATCTGCGTTGCCCTTCCTTATAAGTTGACCCTGAATGCAGAAGACATGGATTCAATTTCTAGGCATGGAAACGAGCCTTCTCCTTCACTTTTGCAACCAAGTCTTGAACTTTTGCTTTGGTATACGTTTTTTGAAGATCTCTGTAACCTGCATGATGCAGAATTGTTTCAGTCGTCAGGAACAGATACAAAGACACACAAAGGCTATAAACAGACGTGAGCATTATGGGAGATGGTGGCCATGAGTCTTGTCTTGGGGCCTACAGAGACCACCATTAAGTATGTATCACCAGCTTTGGAGCAGGAACTTCACTGGTGGAAGAGGAAGCTCTCTGTACCAGCGGGATTTTATCTTCTGACTTATAGCCTTCAACTGTGGGTTATAGAGATGCAGGTTATTAGAACACAGGATTTGAGGGTTTTAAGCTCCTAGACCATGGATAACCCTCCATAGGGCAACTTTGCAGCTCACCTTACAAGAAGCATCCCGAAGAACACAAGAACCAAGAGAGGAGTGTGTATGGCAGAAAGCATTGATATTGATTCCCTATGACCCACCCCAGACTCTCATTTTCCTCGCCTGTTTACAGTCGCAGGAGTACAGTTGTGTATCGATCTATCCGCAAGCGCACCATCCAGACCAAGCGCAGCCAGTGGAACTATGAGAGAAAGTGTGAGAGAACAAAACTGCCATCCGTAGTTATCGTATCTTAGGTCGTCGTGCAAATGCCCTCGGGCCCCCAGGTATAAAGAAAAGGTGTTGCGTTCGCCGTGTGATCCCATATCAACGCCACAATCAGATAGTCGCAAGAAAACACATGACGGGCGGAAGCGGTTTAGATGGCCTCCTCAAGACCGAAGGTGTTCTCGCCGGAGTAGGAGATGTATAAGAATCTGTTGTTCACACCGTTAGTGCTTGTTCCGGCCTAAACTCTATACACGTAGCAGCAAAGCTTGCAGAAGCGGTAGAAGCATATGATGCCAACGTACCCATCCTCATCCTTATGTTCCTCGTAGACGGAGCTCATCAGCGCAGCAGTGGTTGGCAGAACCTCATCGACGAAGATGAAGATGGCCTTTTCTGGGCTCAACTTGATGCGCTTGCGGATCACGTAGACGAACTGGCCGACGGTGAGATCGGCTGGGACGAGGTACTTCTTCTTGTCGATGGTCGCAATGTCGCTCTTCTCGACTTTCTCACAGATGACGGGGATACGATCAGAGTACTTCTGACGCTGTGTAGATGTTAATATTGCGTGGTAGGCAGGAGATGGCGGTATGCTTACAATGCGTTCGGCTTCAGCTTTGCGCTTCTCGAAAGGGTGCTCATCCTTAAACTTAGATCGCATGATGATGGTAGGTTTGTTGATTTGCTGCTATTTAGAATAGAGTGTGTCTTTTGTTGGGTGGTGGTTGTTAATACTATGGTGAACGTTTGGTTGCTTGGAGTTGGTAGAAGAGGTGAGGTCAAGAGGGGCAGGTCAAGAGTCTCTGACGCTAGAGGCGTCAAAGTGTGGTGCCTAGAATAGGTATTGACTCTTATTAATCCTGGAATAGGCCACGTGTGGATGAATATAGTCAAGTGGTGAATGTACAGAAGCTGAAGGTTTATCTTAGTCTTATATGATTGTCTTCCTTTGATGTACATTACCATTAACAGTGAGTTTTGGCAGCTTCCCTTCCTTCCCTATCGCTATCGCTATCGCAGTCCGCGCTAGTCATCTTGGCTTTCTCTAGAGGTAATCCCTGTTGATGGAGGATTCCTGGGGAAACATTTGGAGTTTAATGTGGTACGATCTCCCTCTTTCAACCATCCCTCCCCTTTGATTTCTCATTCAGGGTCAACCGACCTGATGTACATCTCGTAGATATTGAACTGTTCGCTGCTAGAACAGCCATCTCTATTCGTCATGTATTCATTCACCAGACCATCAGCATGGTTTTCAACATTCCAAAAGCTCAGACTCAGATCAAGTCCACTCCCACAATCCACAAAAGCTCAATTAAGAAACTATGCCAACTATCCAAAGCCTCCCTGGCCGCCGATACGAGGAGGTCTTGAGCGTAACACAGTGTGGGCACCGAAGACAAGAATTGCCGTTGGCATTGTCTTCATCGGTGCTATAATATACTCTATGGTACATTTGCAATCGCTACGGAGGCAATGGGGCACAAGCTGACGCGATGTAGATCACAGAAGAGCCAGCCAAACTAGATGGCACCACACAAGCTGAAAGAGACACTTTGACTAAGAGAGAATCTGGTGTCACAGGAAACTCACCTATGCGGTTACAGGTCGAGGACTTCGTGAAGCTCAAACAGAAGGAAATTATTGCGGCCTTGGAGGAAATAGACGGCACGAAGTTCCGCATAGATGCCTGGAATCGGGACAATGGGGGTGGCGGCATATCTGGTGTGTTGCAAAACGGCAAGGTCTTCGAGAAGGCTGGCGTGAACGTCAGTGTGGTATATGGCAAGCTTCCCCAACCAGCTATTCAAGCTATGAGAGTCAATCACAAAGCTATCGATCCAAATATCGAATCACTGGACTTCTTCGCTGCTGGACTGAGTCTGGTACTCCACCCTATAAATCCCATGGCTCCGACAGTACACATGAATATCCGGTACTTTGAGACAATGGATGAAAATGGGAAGCCGAATACATGGTGGTTTGGAGGTGGAACTGATCTCACGCCAAGCTATTTGTTCGACGAGGATGCTGTTCATTTTCACAAAACGCTGAAGGATGCCTGTGATAATCATGACAAGAACTACTATCCACGATTCAAGAAATGGTGCGACAAGTACTTCTCTAACAAGCACAGAGGCGAGACTCGTGGAATAGGTGGAGTCTTCTTCGACGATCTCGATGAAGAAGAGAAAGACAAAGAAAACACATTCGCTTTCGTGCAAAGCGTCGCAAACTCCTTCCTCCCGAGCTACCTGCCCATCCTCACGAAACGGAAAGACCTGACTTTCAGCGAGAAGGAAAGGGAGTGGCAACAAATCCGGAGAGGAAGATATGTCGAGTTCAATCTTGTGCATGATAGAGGGACATCGTTTGGTCTCAATACGCCGAATGCGCGAGTCGAGAGCATACTGATGAGCTTACCAGCCACGGCAAGTTGGAAGTACATGCATGAGCCGGAGAAGGGGAGTCGAGAGCAGAGGCTTGTAGATGTACTGAGAGAGCCCAAGGAATGGGTTTAGCATGTCCTGTAGAAGCTATGACTGTATAACTTAGATGTATGATGGCTGTAATGATAGCAATACTGTGCAATTTTGTGTCGATTTCCAGCTTGCTTTGAAGAGACTACTTCCCAGAACTTCCAGGACTTCCAGGGCTCCCTCTCCTTTGTTAAGCGAGAACCTCACCTCAACATCACAACACTCGCCACGTGCCACTTCACAACGACAGCCTGATTACTTCTGCTTCTCTTCATAACCCAGCCTCTATCCGACTCATCACGAGCCACGATACACCCTCCAAACCCATAACCCAAAATGTCACTCCCAACGCCCCGCAAGTTGTTCACATCACTAATCAACACCCTGACCTTAAGCATGCCTTCTCCCGGCTCAGGCGACCAGCAAAATCAGACAAACAAAGGAAATGATGAAGGCAATGCCTTCAAAGCCCTATCTCCAGCTCAAAAGGCGCTTCTAACGACGCTGCACGTCATAATCCCGCCTCCAACCCTTCTTCAAGCGCTTGATCTCCTCGATCGACGCCTCGCCACACGCATTCTCTGTTCTCCTTTCTCAGTTGCTTCATCGCAAGAGAAAGAGAAAGTATGGCTGCCGCAAGCGCATTTCCATCTCCGTGAACACACCTGTGAGCTCCCGGAACCTCCTGAATCTGGAGACTCGGTTGGCGATGGCGAACAGGATGAAGCTGCAAAGGCCAAAGAGGAACAGCGAGAAAGGAGAGGGTTCTACTTGGTAAAGAGCAGTCAGGTGCCGAAATCACGGTACCGAGACCGTTTAGCTGGTGGCGAGGAGGGGATAAGCTATGTTGTAAGACTGGAGGCGTGGAATTGTACTTGTGCTTCGTTTGCGTTTTCTTCCTTTCGCTCAAACTCCACTATCACTGTTCCTTTTCGAGGGGAGAACGAGAAGCGGGAAGTAGAATGGGAATATGGTGGTGAGAGTCTTGATGGTAGAGATGGTGGAGCGGTGCCGGTTTGCAAGCATTTACTTGCTTGCTTGCTTGCGGAACGGTGGAGTGTTTTGGGTGGTCAAGTGGATGTGAGGGAGGTGGAGAGGGATGAAGTTGTTGGACTCAGTGTTTGAGTAAGGGAGATGCGTTTGTGAGGGAGTGAGAGAGTAGTACTGGTTGCGGATTGCACGACGAGGTGGCAATCAGACCACGGAATCGCATCTAAAATCGCTGGGAAGCAGGAAACTAGTCTCGATTACAGGCGTCAAGGCGGCTGTACCCAAAGTTTCCAGGAAAGTTGATTTACTTACAGCACAAGCTAAGAGCTGTTCACTAGCTCGCTACTTCTCACCCACATCCTAACATACGACTTGGTGATGTCACAAACTGTG